AAAAGAATAGTTGGTGGATGTTAATGTTCCTACACACACACACACACACACACACACAGAGTTGCCCAGAGCAACAGAGCAAAAGAGCCCAGGTCAAAAGTTTTGTTACCAATCTATGTATCTATCATCTATCTCCTATTGGTTCTGTTTCCCTAGGGAGCCCTGACTGATGCATCTGCTCACAGTGGAAGGCAGGCCTGGAGGGTGCTGAGTGACAGGATGTCAGGGACGAATGGTCCGCCATTCAGCGGGCATGAGGACCTATCCTGGGGGAGACAACCCCAAGGTCATAAAGAAGCAGGTGGAGGTTTTGAGACTTGCCCTGCTGTTCTGCATGCATAACATGCATTCTGTTGTTGATTTAACCAAGTTGGCCAGAAAACCAAAAATAGCCCTCATTGAGACTTTCCCAACACAACACTACAAATGGAAAATTACAAAAACCACTCAAAATACTCATGAAGTTCAGGTCCCATAGCCAGATCTCACATAAATCAGACCAAATAACATGACTGTCCTGCTGAAAATCCTCCTAAGGCTCTTAGAATAAACCCAAGCTTAACTCAGCCTACTGCTGAGCCTTGCCTACCTCTGCTCACATTCTCCTTCCCTGTGCTTGGCCAGACCACTCTCTGCCACCTCAGGGCCTTTGCATGTGCTGTTTGCTCTGGTAGGACTCCCTTTCTCTGGCTCTTTGCCTGGCACCATCTCATCCTTCAGAGCTCTGAGATGGCTTCCCTGACAACACATTCTGGCATGCCCCTCTCCACCCCCAAACCTTCTATTACATCCCCTGTTTATGCCCTACATGGAACTTACTGCAGTCTGGAACGATTTTATTTACTTGTTTTCTTGTTTATTGCCTATCTCCTTGCTCTAGTCTGGAAATTCCAGGAGAACATCTCATTCTCTAGTGTCTTCCCAATACCAGGTCATAGGAGGCAGCGCCTGATACATATTGAATAAATGAATGATTCCTCAGCTTCTAAGCTCATCCACGTTCGGTCAGGGCCCCTCCCCACCTTCCCACAGTGCTCTGGGCCAGCCCCATCATGTCCCTTGGTGATTGACAGTGGAGCCATGGCATCCAGTTACTCAGGGGTTTGGGCCCCTGACTAGAAGGTGGAGGACCTGAATACCTTATACAGGTTTGGGCCTTCTTTCCATCTATTTCCTAGATGAAAAGTGCAAAGATCCCAGCTAGCGGTTCCAGACCAGACATCAGGCAACTCTGGGCCCAGGTTACAGCTGGACAGACCTCCCAGAGCAACCAGCCAGGGCCCCAAGCCACACACGCACACATTCGTCTCTCAAAGGGGAAAGAGAGGAGATCTGTGGCTGTGGCTGCAGTCTGGCTGGAGGTGGACATGGGGGGCATGTTGGGGGTGAGGGAGGGCCAGTGAGGAGGACCACGGAAGGGCAGGGGCTCATAAGTCTGGCTCCAAAGGGAAGTTTTTAATAGCCTCAAATCACTGATGTGGTGGGGGAAAGGGGAGGGGAGGGGGAAGGGTTAGGGGAGGGAAAGGAAAGGGGAGGGGTAGAGTAGGGGAGGGGAGGTAACAGGGCACAGGTACCTTCCTGGCTCTCAGGAGGAGGGAGCAAGGCTGGTGGAACCCAGCTGTCAATCTTTTGTGTCTATCAGAGTCACCTAACTGCTGATTGTAACCCCAGAGTTTCTGAGCCAGCAGGGCTGGGTGGGGCCCAGGAAACATGCATTTCTAACAAGGTTCCAGATGAGGCTGATGCTGCTGGTGAGGACCACACGGTGAGAGACGCTGCCAGGGATGTTCCACTCCCAGTTTCTGGCGTTGGGTAACCCGGTTTCTAATCGCAAAGATGTCTGCTGCTGGCACATGGCCCCTTATACCAAAGAAATGGCTTCTTCAGCCTAAATTTCTTCTCTATTAGAGAGAGTAATAATATAAACTTTACCTCCTGAGCTGGTTGTAAGGATCAGGTTGAGATAATCTGGGTAAATTATGTAGCATAGTTCCTGGCACATCGTAAGACTGGGAAAGTTCTTCTTCAGTTGGTTGAGGTGTGGGAATTTGTTTGGAAGGAAGCTGCTATTTGGGGCATTTTGGTTTTTTTATAAGCCATAAAGAATTATTTGACTTTTAAAAACACGTACCTGTGCAACCTTGGTTAAAATGAAAATTTAATTTTTTAATTGCATAAGATTTAATATCATTAAAAAAGAGAGCTCAAAAGCAATTTAATAGTTTAAACACAAAACATCTGTAGACAGTTGTATTATTGTTCCCAATTATTCACTCTCGCTTCCTGCAAGAGGATTATACAGCCCCACCCACTGCCGAGTGACCTGTGGTGCCGCCTTGGGAAAGACTATTAACCCAGCCCCACTGACTTTGGCCTTGACCCCATGACTGCCTTTGCCAATGGCCTGTGTGCCGACAGGACCTGTGGCACATCATAGCAGCGACTTTAAGAGCCATTGCTTATTTCCACCTGCTCACTTGCACTTGTCCTCTGCCCAAGACTGACGTGTCCCTGGTGGGGGCTGTTTTTTCAGCTTGAACAGAGAATCACAGCCACAGCTGACCCATTGCCAAAAGGAGTCAAGCCATATCCAAGCTGTGGAGGAAATGTAAGAAGGGCAAGGAATATGCCCAGATAGTCGTGAGCTACTGAGATGTTGGGATACGCTGTTCCTGCAGCTATTGCTAGTGAAAACTGACTAAAAAACGTCCTGCCATAGGTGCCTGGCTGCAGAAGACCAAATTAGACATTTCTCCAATGAAGACATAGAGATGGCCAAAAGGCACATGAAAAGATGCTCAACATCACTAGTCATCTGAGAAATACAAATCAAAACTACAATGAGGTGTCACCTCACACCGATCAGAATAGCCATCATTAAAACGTTCACAAACGATAAATGCTGGAGACGGTGTGGAGAAAAGGAGACCCTTCTACGCTGTTGGTGGGAATGTAATTTGGTGCAGCCACTGTGGAAAACAGTATGGAGGTTCTTAACAAACTAAACATAGAGTTACCATATGACCCAGCAATCCCATTTCTGGGTGTATACCCAGGAAAAAAAAACTCTAATTCAAAAAGATTCATACATCCCAATGCTCACAGCAGCACTATTTACAGTAGCCAAGACATGGAAGCAACCTGAATGTCCATTAACAGATGATTGGATAAGGAAGGTATGGTATATATATATACAATGGACTACTTCTCAGCCACAAAAAAAGAATGAAATAATGCTGTTTGCAGTAACATGGATGGATCTAGAGACTGGGGAGGGATAAATTAGGAGTTTAGGATTAACAGATATAAAATAGATAAACAACAAAGTCCTACTATATAGTACAGGCAACTATATTCAGTATCTTGTAATAATCTATAATGAAAAAGAATATAAAAAGGAATATATATTTATATAACTGAATCACTGTGCTGTACACCAGAAACTAACACAACATTGTAAATCACCTATACGTCAATTAAAAAAAAAAAGAAGCCTAGCTAAATAAAGTGTAATGTGTCTAAATGATGAGAGTGCAACTGTTAAATTTGAAGTTATATTTTCAATTAAAATTTATATTTGAATGTATTCAGCTATTAAAATTATAGTTAAGGATATAGGAAATTGCTCCAAGGAGCATTTTTAGTAAGTGGACAAAGGCAAAGTTTCAAACTGAAAGTACAGTGCAATCCCAGTTTTGTAAGTAAAAATATACCATGTATATGTTGCTTGAGGTAAGTTGGATGGTAATTTTGCCTAGAAAAAAAAAGGATTGCGGGAAAAAAGATACCTAGATGTTAACAGTGGTGATCTCAAGGTGGTGGAATTAGAAAGGGTAGTTATTCTCCTTCATGCTTACCTGCACTTTCCAACTTGTCTATAATGGCCATGTCATACTTTTATAATTTAGGTAAACAGTTATGCTGTACAGATATGTTTAAAAGAATCCATTGCTGATGGTGGTGCAGAGGGCAGGGAGCCCTGGGAAGGCAGCCCAGGGTCCCAGTAGTTCCTGGTAGGGCTCAGAGGTGGGAGTGGAGGGAGGTTTCTCATGGTCTCCTTATACCCAGATACCCCAGGCACAGGGCTACATCTAGTAGACTTAATGTCCTATGAGAATATGTGTAACTTTAAAAAAAAGATTCATTGGTTCCAAATATAAAAATAAAAGTGTAATTTTCAGATTAGTAAATGTTAATAATAAAAGTTAATGTTTAAATATCTAAAATTTGTGACCACACATATTAAAAAGTTAAATGCGGTGACTGCTTAATGGGTACAAGTTGCCATTTGAGGTGATGAAAAAGTTCTGGAACTACATAGTGGTGATGGTCATATTATGTTGTGAATGTGCCTAATACTACTGAATTGCACACTTTTAAATGGTTTAAATGGTATAGTTTATATTACGTGTATTTGACCAGGAAAAAACCCCCTCAACTTCAATGCAAGTCAACGCTTATATAATTATATGGAACTCACATTTAATGTGGAATTTGAGTGATCTTCTGTGTACCTAAAATGATGTGAGTGGGACCCCAAAATAAAATCGGCCCAGAAAAGGCAGTGGTTGCTAATGATCTCTGTTCTCCTGTCACTAGACACCTTTAGAGTGACAGTGAATGTGTAGCTTTCAGGGTAGGGATGGGAGTGAGTATGGAACACAAACCTGTTTCTCATCTTGTCACATGGGGTCTGGGACTCAGAGCCAGACCCTCAGAGAGATGCGCCTCCTACAGAGCCAGGAGCCTAAATCAGGGATTGGCACCCTCCTGTGATGCCACAGAACCAGCACTGGGCGGCAGCAGAGAGCCAGATCAGGCTGGGAGGGCACCTGGAAGCTGTCCCCATATCCACTGTTCTCTCTCCCATTTCCCTGCCCCTGACTCTCCGAAGATAACCAAGACTGAACAAGACAGTCATTTCAGCTTGATTTTTCAGAGGATGGTACCATTTCTCAAAAGGAAATTGCTTTGCAAGTAAACCTAAGTGTTTCACCAGCTCCTTCCAGTGGGATATTCAAGAATATTCAAGATTGGTCAGTTTTTACATATTTAAGACATTCTATCATTTAAAACATGTTTTCAGTTTTGCTATAGCCAATATATTATGGCTAATTTCAGGGATCGACCTGATAAAACTCACATCCTATTTTTTGTGGGGTATCAATTTAAGATTTTTCACCTGATATTCATCAAGCTAATATCTTTAAGAGATTAGAAAACTTTAATACAAGACTGGCGGCAAAGATATTTTTCCACAGCACTGAGAAGTTAACTTGGTTCAGACAGCAGCACCCTGAGAAGACTATTCCGTATAAAGCAGTCACAGGTCTCTTCTAAGATGACTTCACTACTATGTAGGAAAATGCCTCAAAACTGAGTAGTTCAGAGTAAATACTGTTGTTGTTGTTGTTTGTTGTTATTGTTATTTGGGCTGGGCTTAGCTGGGTGGTTCTTCTGCTGGTCTCACCTGGGTTCACTATGGGGCCAAAGTTAGGCAAGTGGTTTGGGGGCTGAATGGTCTGTGTCACTGTTGACCCCTCTCACATGTCTGGCATTTGGCTGGGGTGATGAGGGCAACTGGGCCACAAGAATCTCATTATCAAGCTAGCCAAACTTCTTTGCTTGGCAGCTGGGTTCCAAAAAGAGTAAGAGAAGCCAAGCCCCAAAGCACAAACACTTTTTAAGCCTCTGCTCATGTCATGTTTCCTACTGTCCCCTTGACAAAGGCAAGTCATGTGGCTGACTCTGATTCAGGAGACAGAGAAAAGACAGGAGGAGCCACAAAATATTGTGACCTTTAAAAAATCTACCGCAGCTCTTTCTCCTCTCCTGCCATATCAAGAATATTGTTATACAGGCAGGGATGGATGACAGCCACTTGCCAACAAAGTGCCCCTTCCCACCCCATGTCCCTGGGATCAAGTTCAAGGAAGTTAAATCTGCATTTCCCCAGATGCCTCTGGGAGAAAACCAGTCCCGTGAAGTAAGGTGTTCCCCTGCAAATTCATACGTTGAAGCTCTAACCCCCCAGTGTGACTGTATTTAGAGATGTCTTTAAGGAAGTAATCAAGGTTAAATGAGATCAAAAGCATAGGACCCCAATCCAACAGAACTTACGTCCTTATAAGAAGAGGAGGAGACACCAGAGTGCTGTTTCTGTGTGTGTGCGCACGCGTGCGCATGTGTGTGCTTGTGTGAGCACAGATAAGAGGCCACGTGAGGACACAGTGAGAAGGCAGCCATCCGCAGGCCAGGAGAAGAGACCTCACCAGAGCCAGCCTTGCCAACACCTTGATCTTGGACTTGAAGCTACAGACTGTGGAAAACAAATGTCTCTTGTTTAAGCCGCTCAGTCTGTGGTATCCTGTTATGGCAGCCCGAGCTGACTAATACACAAGTGTTCCTTGGTTAAACAAGCTTGGGAAATGTGTGTTCAATACTGGCTCCCCACCCCCACCCCCTACCCCGTTGGGAAATTCACAGGACTCATAGCCTATTAAAGGCTCTGAGAAATTCCTCAGCAAAGAAACCTATAGTTAAACCCAGTGTTTCTCAAATTTATTTAAGCATGAGTTCCTTTCCCAACACCTATGATCACCTTAGAAATCCAGGTGTCAATAGGGTTGGTTTCTCCTGGAGGCCCTGAGGGAGAATCTGTTCCATGCCTTTCCCTTGCCTCCGCTTGCTGCCAGCAACCCTTAGAGCTCCTTGGCTTGGAGATGCATCATTCACTCCCATCTCCACCTCCATCTTCACAGCCCCATCTCTGTGTCTCGTTCTCAGCAGCTACCCTTTCTCTTATAAGGACCCAGTCATTAGATGCAGGGCCCACCTTAAACCCAGGATGACCTC